CCTGCTCTGTCTGGGTGAGATGTGGAGATGGGGAGGGATGCTGTGCTCTGGGATTGATGCTGCCCCACAGCCCAGCACGGGTCAGTTAGGAAACCCCAGGGTCTCAGGAGGTTCTGCAGAGGGGAGGACCTTCTCAAGCTTCAGGGACAAACCTCTCACAGGGAACTCTCTTCTAGGGCTGACTCTGGGCCATGGGACACCAGTGCTGTCAGGTGAGTGAGTGTCTGCAGATGTCCTGACATCACTTGTCATCATTCCTGGAGTCATGCTGGGCAGTGTGTGTGCTGCCCCTGGGGAGGGCTAAGTGTTACAGTGTGGGTTAAAATCAGAAGATAATGTCCCGGGTCCTACCTGATCTTTTCTTTGCAGGAATTCGCCCTAAACCTATCCTCAGAGCACAAACAGATTCTGTGGTCTCTGAGCTGACTACAGTGACCTTCTTGTGTGAGGGAACCATGGGAGCCCAAGAATACCGTCTGTATAAAAATGGGCATTTCAGGAACAAAAAATATCCACCAAATCCTAAGAACAAGGCTGAATTCTCAATCTCAAAAATAGTCCCTCAGGAAGCAGGGCAATATACCTGTCAATATTGGACCCATTATGGATGGTCAGAGCACAGTGACGCCCTGGAACTGGTGGTGACAGGTGAGAAGACTCACAAAGTCCACAGCCTCAGGTTTGTCTGTCAAGAAGTGGTTCTGTACACAGGGGTGACTCTCCACACAGCCTTGGAGGGTAAGAGGGCCTTTGAGGGCATTTAACTGATTCTTCTTCTCTCCTAGGGGCCTACAATAAACCCAGTCTCTCAGCACAGCCCAACCCTGTGGTGACTGAAAGAGGGAAAGTCACCATCCAGTGTGGCTCAAAGCAACAATATTCTGGGTTCATTTTGATTAAGGAAGGACCACAGGAAGAATCCAGGATACTGGACTCAGAGTATAACCAGTCTACTTGGCAGTATGAGGGCAGGCTCCCTGTGGGCCCTGTGACCTCCAGTCAAAGGTGGACATTCAGATGCTACAGCTTTCGCAGTAACAGCCCATTGGTGTGGTCAGATCCTAGTGACCCTCTGGAGCTCCTGTTCTCAGGTGAGAAGCCAAAAATATTCCACAAAATGATACAGATATAACAGAGGTGCTGAGGGAGGTCTTGGTGTGTGGACTGTGAGGAGCCAGGGCTCCTGAGCCCATTGACACAGATCATGGGAGACAGAGTAACACAAGATACAGAATCCAGGGAAGATAGTGAGAGCATATTCTATAAGGTCTGAGAGAGAGAGGAATCTTCATGGTGCCCTCTGTTACTCTGGATCAGCTTAAATAGCATCCACAAGAACAGGAGAAACTCTACAGAAGAGAGAGGAAGGGTTGTAGGAGCCGCACAACACTTCAGTGGAACCATGAGGGCTCACAGAGACTGAAGCAGCAACCAAGGCTCATGCTTGGGTCTTCACTAAGCCCTCTGCACACAGGCTGTGCTGATTTACACTGGCTCCTTTTTATTTTTGTTTTTAGAGGGTCACTGTGTATCCCTGCCTGTCCTGAACCTGACTCTGGAGACCAGGCTGGCTTTGAACTCACATCAATCTGCCTGCTTTTGTCGACTGAGTGCTAGGGTTAAAGGCATGCACAAGCACAACCAGAATAACTTGCGATTTTTTTAGACTCATAACAACAGGAGTGTGGAAGTCTCTGACTCTTTTGCCTGCACAGGGGATCTTTTTCCTCCTACTGGGTTGCCTTCTCCAGCCTTAACAGGAGGGTGTTCGCCTAGTCTTACTGCATGCTGTTATGCCGTGTTCCAGTTATATCACTGGGAACCCTGCTCTGTTCTGAAGGAAAAAAAAATAGGCGCAGTGGGTCTGGGGGAGAGGGAAAGGGAGAGAACTGCTGTGAGGATGTGATGTTTAACAGGAGCTTAAATTAATTACAAACAAGTGCCTTCCGCCATTGTGACTCTCCTGTGCCACTTTCAGACAGACCCACCCCCTTCTCTCCTGTTTCCTTGCAGGGACCCTCCACGAACCCACCATCAAGGCTAAGCCAGGCCCTGTGGTTGCCTTAGGAAGCCCCATGAACATCTCCTGTCAGGGGACCCTGAATGCAGAAATGTGTTTTCTGCATAAAGAGGGAAGCCAACAAACCTGGGGTACACAGATCCCAAAGGAGCCTGAGAACAAGTCCACGTTCTCCATTCCTTCTGTCACAGAGGACAGTGGGGGGCAATATCGCTGTTACTGTTACAGCTCAGCTGGCTGGTCAGAGCCCAGTGACACCCTGGAACTGGTGGTGACAGGTGAGGGGACAGTCAGGGTCTCTGCAACAGGCTCTGCTCTCAGGAGTATCTCCTCTCCCACGCTAGAAGAGCCCATGTAACAGACTGCTTATTCTGTCCTAGGAATCTATAACACTAAACCACACCTGGTAGAATTGCCCAGCCCTGTGGTGACCTCAGGGGGGAACATGACTCTCCAGTGTGTCTCACAGATGGTTTATAACAAGTTCATCCTCACCAAGGAAGATCAGAAGTTCTCCAGCTCCCTGAACTCACAGTATATAAACAGTATTAAGCAGTACCAAGCCTTATTCTCTATAGATCATGTAACAGCAGACCACACAGGGACATTCCGATGCTATGGTTACTACAAGCAAACCCCACAGCTGTGGTCAGCACCCAGTGAGGCCCTGGAAATGCACATCTCAGGTGAGTCAGCCCCATCACTGACCAATCATTTTTAATACTCCAAGCCCTTTGCCATGACCCTGTCACACTAGGTAGTTGGAGATAAAGAGTGAAAAAGAAAGATCCTGATTGCTGAGCCAGAGCCCCAC